CCCCTCTTTTTTCTTTCCTCCCCCTCTACCCATCTTTTTTCTTTTTTTGTTCAACCCACTCGTTCGGTGTCCATTCGTGGAGTGGCAATAGTCTGTCAGGCCATGCGGCATGCTGAGAGAACTTTCGCCTTTTTTTTTTTTTTTTCTCTTTTCTTTTCCTTTTTCTTTTCTTTTTTTTTCAGCAAAAGAGGATGGTCGCGCCTCTTCTCTCCCATCCTCCATCTCTCACCGAGAAAGCGAAAGGAGTGCTGAAGAGGGCTGGCTTTGCGTAGCTCGTTCCCGCTTCCTCATCGGTGGAGCACCAAGGCTAGCCCCCTCTTACTCATCCTCCCTCCCTCCCTCCCTCCCTCCCTTTCTCCCTTCCTCCTCTGCGGACCTCCATAGCTACAGACGGACCTTATCTACCGACTCGAGTTGCGAGCTGCAAGCAGCGGTCTTGTGTGTGCTGGCGACTGGATTGCTGAGCGTGGTCTATCCCAACCTTCACTGCTAGTAAGTACTTTCCACTTTTTTTTTTTTCTTTTTTTTTTTTTTGAGAATGGCCTCTCCTTTCCACCTTTTTCTTTTTCTTTTTCTTGTGCTTTTTTTTGTGCTTTTTTTCCTTCCCAGTAAGTCTTTCTTGTCCTTGAAGCTCATTGGCCATTCTCACTTCTTCTCCCTTATCTCTTCTTCTCCTTCCTCCTCCTCCTCCTCCTATTCCTCTTTTTCCTCCTCCTAACTCTCGTCGTACTTGTTGCTGCAGGGATCGAATGAATTCTCATGTCCCAGCCGGTTTTCGTTGACACGTTTGCACACACACACCAGTCGCACACCGGTCGCACAAACGCGCGCGCGCGCACGAGAGAGAGAGAGAGAGAGAGAGAGAGAGAGAGAGAGAGAGAGAGAGAGAGAGAGAGAGAGAGAGAGAGAGGTGCAATATGAATCCGGCAGAGAAGATTGATGTGGTGATGACAAAGATGAGGAGGAGGAGGAGGAGCAGGAGGAGGAGGAGGAGGAGGAGGAGGAGGAGAGTAGGATGATGTAGAGTGAGGAGGGGGCGAAACGGAAAGCCGCTACGAGGATTTGGTAAAGGGAAAGGTTGAGGGGGCATCGCCGGTATGGAAATCATGTTTACTTGGAAAATATAATCACACTAGGACTTTTTCGACTGGATGAGACCATAGCCGTGGTCAGATACATGCAGGGGTACTTGGTTTGGCAGCCAATTGTGCGGTTCGCTGTATGCTATACAAGAAGTCTGATGCCGGTAATGACGGCGAGGCGAGGCGTCAAAAGGTGGAGAGAGAGAGAGAGAGAGAGA